CCTGCCATAAAAAACCCTTCTAACAAGACCCTCACTTTTTTTGACATTTGTTTTCTAGCACCTTTCTTGCCAAATTTTTGGTTTTCTTTCAGAGCCTAACTAGAATGCAAAGAAAATATATTATCAATATCTCTAAAGATTCACTAGTAAGTAATTTTTAGTATTACTGTATTTCGAAAAAAATCATTATTACTTACTGTTGTTGAGTTTTATTATTCACTTTATTCATAAGTACTTCAACTAATACTTCGTTATCTAATTTTAATTTTAGCATTATTTACTCGAGATACTTTATAAATTCATCCTTACTTTTTTACTTACTCGCATGCATGTTTATTATTAATTTCAATTCTAATTTTTTTACCAACTCATGTTTATTTTCTTTCTCATCAATTTTAACACATCTTAAATGTAACTGCTTTATTAGGTTTTCCTTTGATAATTGATCTGGACGTATATCTGTAATATATATATATATATATTAGTATTAGCTACATTTTAATATAAAGTTAATACATACGTGCAGGGTTTGGTGGTGGTATATACCAATCTAAAATTGGTGTTGTTGGAGTTGAAGTATGCGGAGTGGGTTTTTTGATTTCATGTTTTTGCAATTTTTCTAATTGTGTTTGAGTAAATATTGTCCAATCACCAATATTCGGAATAGACTGTGCTAATATACAACCTTCTAAATCTTTATCAATTGGCCATTGCCATTCAAACCAATTTGAATTTCCAGGTAGTGTATTATTGCGAGTTCCTATGATAGTAATTTCAATTACAACAATATACTAATTTTACTCTTTTTGACTATATACAGTATTACCTCTATTACGGTTAGGTTGTAAATATGATACAGAAGCCTCCTGAATTCCCTAAATTGCATTTTCAATATCTTGGCCAGTTTCTATATCAAATCCGAGTTGAACATATTTCTTAATAGCATGTGAGATCTAAATTTTTCAAATATTAGTTTATTATGAGGGAGTCGTCTTGGTGCTACCTAAAGTAGTCAATAATTTACTGCTATCCTGTCTAATTAAATATTAAATTGACTATCTGACTCTAACTCTAGCATCCCTAACCCTAATATTCATTACCAAATTATTATTTTATTTAAAAAGAGTAATAATAAATTATTTACCACTTCGGGTAGCATCAAGATTTTTATATTATGAAATAAAAAACAAAAACTTTTAACAAACCTATGCATGGTGAGAATCAATCGTAGTTTTCATCTCACCCACCTCAAAGAATACCCATTTTTTTACTTTTATATTATACCATTCATACCAGA